AGTGGCAGGGAAAGGGGAGAGGAAGGGGAGCTCCTCCTCAAGGCAACAGCCGAAAGAGAGAGGGAGAGGGGAGAGGGGATAACAAGACAGGATTGAGAGTGAGGTAACTCATACAGTAAGAGGAGAGAGAGCAGTCAGTGCCGACACCACCACTCATTCACCAGGATAATATCAACAACAAAAAGAGAGTTTGCCGGCGCCTGTTTAGCAACATCGGCGGCGTCAGGCGCCAGGCAAAAGCGCGCGCAAAAGTGCCTCACTTGACTTCAGTCAATCTATCCGACTACTACCACTGCTGCCGATGAAAGGTAGCTGATGATGATGAAAATAAATCACTGCCATGCTAACTATAGCACTGCAGGTGATGGAAATCAAATGCAAATCAATGAGGAAACACTGAGGGTTCCTTGTGTGTGTAGCGTGATTATCATCCAACAATATACTGAATGCACTTCACTTACCGCAGAAGTAGACGAGGAAGATTGAGCGTTGTGGTGGTGGTGGTGGTTGCTGCCTGTTGGTAGTGAAGATGGTGGTGGTGGTGGTGGTGGTGAGTGAAGTTGCTGTTGATGGTATCCACTGGGCGGAAAGGGCGGAAAGCCGCCACCACCGTAGGCGTAGCCGGTGGTGGCCATCTCCACCACCGCACTGGGATGCGGATTCTGCATCTGCACCAGTGCCGCGTACTGATTGTGGTGGGCCATCATCGTCGCCGCCGCGTAGGCCGAGTTTCGCTGGATCATCGCCGCGGCAAACTGCTGCTGCTGCTGCTGAATCTGCTGCTGATTTGAGCTGCTGCTATTGATGGGCGCCTGAAGGCCGCCACTGGCGAGGGCGTTCAGGGGGTGCTGACTGTGATGATGGTGGGGACCTCCTCCTCCGTTTCCGCCATTATCACCACCACCACCACCGCTGTTATTTCGACCCGAGTAGCCGCCGCCGGATTTACCGTTGAAGGTCATCCTCTCTCGATTCTTCAGATTCTGCAGGTAAATAGTAACATGAGAGAGAATAGTTAGTTGTAGTTTGTTAGTTGCCATAGTGGCAGTAGAAGAAAAAACAAAAGTTTCTGCTGCTGTCGACAGTCTCACATACCGAGCCAGATCCATTAATCATAATCAGACGAGGTTAGGTATCAGCCGAGGATAGAGCTATTGTTGAAAAGTTGAATGTCGCCAGGGAATAGAAAGTAGAAAAATAGTTCAACTTGATGATGATTTACAGCTCCGCATTATTCAGTGGATAACAAATGTAGATGTCTGCAATGATGATAGAGAAAGTTGTTAGTTAGATTTTGATGATGATGACAACGATGATGCAATAATATCAAAACTTTCTGTTGAAGGAAGGAAACTTGATCTAAGATAGAGAACTTTAACTAATACTAGAGAAAAACTGACTCACTAAACTGTGAGATACGCCACTCTAAATAGAGAGGAAAAGCAATTCTTGCAAAGTTCCAAAATCACAAATGTTCGAAAACCTAACACTTTCTAATCAAAAGTTTACCTTTGGGAAGCACTGATGTTCAAAGTTAAGAAAACGGGGTGAAATCGTCGTTATTGCCTCGGCATCTTCATCTCATCGACAAAACAAAGGTAATCAAAGCGGTAAATCTGAAATGGCAACAGTTAAAACGGTTAGTACAAGAGCATGACAACAAAAAATGATTGTACAAAACTGACCGAGATCCAAAAGGAAATGTGAGAAAGTGCGTACGAGACTTCGAAATACGACTCGGCGCGTGACGGCAATGATTCTTATCAACAACAATAAAACGAAATGAAATGCGAATCAGGTATAGAAAGACGATATATGAAGAAAAATAGAAAATCCGGGCTTGAGTTGAGGTATTTGGTCGTTGGTTGTTGGTGGTGGCTGGAAGCTTGTACTAGCGAGCGACAAGCGAAGTATGAAGGCAAGATTGAAATCGATTAAAATGTGGCGGTGGCGTTGATAGTTTCTCTCTGAAAATCTTTTCGATTAAAGTTCCGTATCCGTCAGGCTGGTAATCCGAATTCCGTTTCTGTAAATTAGATTGAACTTTCTCAGTCAAATCAGTCTCCAAACATTCACTCAATCTTCAATCGGCTCTTGTCATTGGCAGTGACACTGACAGTCGCCCGGCGGTGGTGACACACTGACACTGTCACGGCTGGCACTTTTGCTGGTGGTGGAGGAAAGATGAGAACATTGGGCGAAGAAGTGTCCGAAGGAGGTGAGATGATCTAAACTGGAGATGATCCAACCGGAGTGAAGTGATGAAGTCCACCAAAACACACACACACACAGAGAGAAGCAGAAACAACAAAAGCAGCAGCAGCTGCTGCAGCAGTGGTGGATGACAGCGAGGCTTTGTTTGTGCTGTCAAAGGCTCAAATTCTGTTTTGTTGGAGGGTGCGCACTAGCGCTACGTTGGAAGCGCCAGCGAAGCTGCTGGCTTCACAGTCAGCCAGTGTTTTGGGACAGGCAATGGAATAGAACACAAAACCGTATCCCTTTCATTCCACTCACTGCCAAGGGCGCTTCTTTTGTTCTATTTTCAGGTTCTAGTGGTCCTGCTGACCACCACCACCACCACTTTTAGCTTCCTCTCCTCCTGCTCCAAATTCACCAAGGCGTTGTGGACTTAGAACAAGCAAATGTCTCCCTTTGTCAAATCGTCTTTTGTCGCTTTCAGTTGTGTGACGCACGCCATTGTGTTTCTCTACTCCGAATCCAAAGTGGATTCTCTCTTTCTTCCTCTTCTTCTTCTCACTATGGATACCGCCGGTGCAAGGCAGCGCACCTGAGCTGAGTTCTGCCTCAGGGGCTTCCAGTACAAACAAAGAGAGTCGTGACAGGTTATTGACCCAGAGCGGGAGAATATGTCAACAACGACGATATAGGCTTACCTGAATAGGGAGAGAGAGAGAATTACGGAAAGAACTGCTATAATTAGCAAACGCATGATATCTCAAATAGACAAAAGCTTCTTTTTCTTTCCCCAAAGCTCCGGACAAACATCGGAATATAATACATGTCAATGAAGATTCCCAAATACCAAAAAGCAAACACAGCTACTACTGATCGAGCTTTATCCTCAGCTCAATGAGCTTCTTCCGGTGCTCGGGCCGTCTGGCCGGCGCCTCCGCCAACTGTTGAATGAGGTCGGCGAGCTTGGCGATGGTCGGNCTTCCTCAAAGCTCCGGACAAACATCGGAATATAATACATGTCAATGAAGATTCCCAAATACCAAATAACAAACAAACACAGCTACTACTGATCGAGCTTTATCCTCAGCTCAATGAGCTTCTTCCGGTGCTCGGGCCGTCTGGCCGGCGCCTCCGCCAACTGTTGAATGAGGTCGGCGAGCTTGGCGATGGTCGGGTGCTGCTGCTGGGAGCTGCTGCCACCTCGGACTGCTGCTGCACACCACTCCTCCGGCAGAGCCTCCACAATCTGGCCGACCTGCGCGAGGAGGGCGTCACCGTCGGCGGCCGATCGCGAGATGGAGATGAGCAGCACGCGGCCGAGCAGCCGCTCCAGCGCCAGCTCCTTCAGCACCGGCTCGGCGACCAGGCCGCGCAGACTGAGGGCGCTCCGCAGCAGCTGAACCGCCGCCCAGAACTGCCGGTGGAAGAAGGCGGTCACGTAGGTGACCGCTAGCGTCTCGTAGTGACTGCGCCTCGCCGCACGGTCAAAGAACTCCGGGGGAATCATGTTCGGAATGAAAATTTCACCCTCTAGAACCGCCTCCAGTCGGTGGACGATGGCCTGGAGGAGGGTGGCTAGGGCTGGTCGAGTTGAAGAAGATGAAGTTGAGGATGAGGATGAGGAAGAGGAGGCGTCGACCAGCGTCGGACAGGTCTTGAGGACGGCCCTGAGAAAGGCGGCCAGTCGGGCGGTCTGCCCTTGGGAGAGCGGACTCCAGACGCCGCCCTGAATGAGGGCCGTCAGTTTGGGGAAAAGTACCTTCTCAAAGGCGGCCGGCACCAGCTCCAGGTCGGCCGACCTCCACTTGGCCTCCGCTTTTTGGTCCAATGATTCATCTCCCTCTAAAGCGCCGTAGAGGACCAGACTGCGCAGGACGTCCATCCGCCGGAAGGGATCCACAGCCTCCGCCTTGGAACTTCGGCGGTCAAAAGGATTCCACAGCAGCAGCCGGTGGCGCAGGTAGTACCCGGCAAAGGTGGCCACAAAGGCGCCCACAAAGCTCTCCACGTAGCTGTCCAGTCGGGAGCGCTTCCAGGCGGCGAAGCGGCCCAGCACGCCGGCCAGCGTCGCGTACTCCTCCTCCGTGTCCTCAAAGAGCTCCTCCGCCTGGTGACGAATCGAGGCAACGGTAATGGTTTGATGGTCTTCTGAATCACCACCTTCTTTTTCTTCTTCCTCTTTGTCCTCATCTTCCGAATCCGATGATCCCTGGACGATGCTCGCCAGCGACCGCCGCCGCATCTTCGCCTCCAGCGCCAGCAGTCGCTGTCGCTTCGCCTCGTCCCCTCCAAAGTCGTAGTACTCAAAGATTGAGGTGCCATGAGCCACCGCCGCGTACTGCTCCGCGTTGATCTTCAGGTGGATGATCAGCTGGACGGCGGCGTCATTCTGGGCGGTCACCTCCGCGGCCGCTTCCGCCGCCCGCCGAGCCGCCCGCCCCGCCCACAGCTCCAGCGACTGCCGCTCCAGCCGCTCGAGCGTCTCCCGCTTGTCGGTGATGCAATCGCAGAGGTTGCGCACGTACTCCAGCGTCTCCTGATAGAAGTGGCCGTCTTCGAGGGCGGCGTTTTCCTTTCCGTTTCGGTACCCCTCGATGCTCTCCTCAGTCAGGCGAAGGTCGAGCTGGACGCGGTCGAGGAGGGCGCGATTCGACTCCAGCGAGGTGGCCAGCGCTCGCCGAAACTCTGCCCGTCGTCGGTGGACGCTGGAAAAGTCTCCGCTGGAGGAGGTTTTGTTTTCAGAAGTGTTTCGAGATGTTGAGGAGGAGGAGGAAGTGATGTAAGAGGGAAGGGCCGAGCCAAACCGCCTCGTCGAGCTGCCCTCCTCATCCTCGCCGTCAATCTCAATCGGCACGACGCTGTGGTTGTCGACGACCCTGGCCGCAGCTGTGGTTTTCTGCGCTGCTTTGTTGCCTGTTGAAGTTGGCTGCTGTTGGAGATATCGGTTGGCAAACTCCGTCTCATTGAAGGCGGCCAACGAAGGCAGGCAGACCGCCTTTCGAATCTGCTCCTGCTCCCAGCGGTCCAGCTCGCTCGCAGAGTCTGAATCGGAGATGTCATCTTTGCTTGCGGCGGGGATTTTAAGGCCATTTCTCTTTGTCTTATTTTCATGATCGCTGCTGTAGTCCTCCTCGTCGCTGCTGTAGTCCTCATCGTCGCTGACCTTCTTCGTCCGCCTTTGAAGTTGCTGCTGTTCGGCCGTCTCCTCCTGCGCCATTCTAAAGGCCTCCTTTGCCCGTTCGCGTTCTTTTGTTTTGTAGTCGACCTTGCCGAACTGAATTCGCTCTTCCCCCTCCTCCTCATCGTCATCGTCATCTTCATCCATGTCCATGTCGCCCTCCTCGCCCGCCTCATCTCCTTTTCCACTTCCGCCAAGAAGGTTGGCCTCCTGTCGAAGCGTCTCCTCGTCGTCCGAGTTGAGTGGAATAAAGTCATCGGCAGCCCTCGACCTCGCCAGCTTCTGCCGCTGCTTCTTCAGCTCGTAGATCACCTTGGCGTCGGGAATGGTGCCCCGCTCGACGGCATTTCGAAAGTTGTGCACCTGATCACCGCTGCCACCACCAACTGACGATGCTGATTTTGCTGCTTTCGAGGCAGCAGGTGGTGGCCGACGTGAGGACTTTGACATGAACCGAATCTCCTCCTCAAGCTCGTCCTCATCCTCATCGCTGCCTGGGCAGATGACAATGTCCTCTTCAGTAAAAGCCGCCTCTGCTTCTGCAGTTTTGCTGCTGCTGCCTTCTCCTGTATTGTCTTCATAGGCTTTTGAAAGAAGTTTCGATGAGTTTAGAGTCAGAAAACCTAAAGTAGAAGCCTTACTCAAAGAGGGACGATTGGAAGTTTGGTTATCCGGCCTTATTCCGCTCCCGTTTGCTTCTGATTTGTCTTTATAGCTAGGATTGAGGTGCCTGCTCTTGAGACTCTTCAGCTTGTTTCGCTCCATTCGCTTGCTGTACGCCGACTTTTTGACTTTGAATACATCTACAAAAATGGGTGAAAAACGTAAGTACAAAGCTTCACTCTTTTAGGCCCAGAAAACTTACCTTCCACTTCCTCTTCATCCTCATGGTGCAGAAAGCTCAACGCGGCGGTTTTCTTTTTGGCAGCAGCAGCCTGTTGTTTACCGAACAAACTTCCATTGCCGCTGCCACTGCCGCTGTTGTTGTCATCAGTACTTTGCTGACTNAAAAATGGGTGAAAAACGTAAGTACAAAGCTTCACTCTTTTAGGCCCAGAAAACTTACCTTCCACTTCCTCTTCATCCTCATGGTGCAGAAAGCTCAACGCGGCGGTTTTCTTTTTGGCAGCAGCAGCCTGTTGTTTACCGAACAAACTTCCATTGCCGCTGCCACTGCCGCTGTTGTTGTCATCAGTACTTTGCTGACTGTTTTCATTGCTCTGCGTCAGGCTATCAAACGACTTGAAGTCCGCTTCGGTTTGCTTCTTCAAGAGTGAAGAGACGCCGGTGTTTTCATGTTTTTCATCTTGTTTTGGCGGCTCACTCGTTTCCGTTTTCCCTTCTTCCTCCTCCTCCTCAGACTCGGAGCGAATTCGCTGCCGAATCTGCGTCCTCTTTGATTTTTTGAACATTTAGAAGATGATGATATAAAGTTGAGAATCACAGGTGTAAATTGAAGGAAAAGTAGATAATCGGCGAGTTTTGTTGATGTGCAATGCCTGAGCAAGTCTGCCGAAAGAAAGAAAAACATTGCCCGTCTACTGTTACCCAAACAGCGCCAACCGAGGTCGAAATGGCGCACACCTCGTAGAACTTTTCCATTTTGGCGGCAACTCCAGCCGAAAAAGAACCCGATTCTCGTANAAATTGAAGGAAAAGTAGATAATCGGCGAGTTTTGTTGATGTGCAATGCCTGAGCAAGTTCTGCCGAAAGAAAGAAAAACATTGCCCGACTACTGCTACCCAAAGAGCGCCAATCGAGGTCGAAATGGCGCCCTCCTCGTAGAGCTTTTCCATTTTGGCGGCAACTCCAGCCGAAAAAGAACCCGATTCTCGTAATTTCCAAAAAAGTGTTTTAGTTGTATACCCAAAGGTGTGTCATGCAATATAGTTCATTTGATACAGTNTCTGCCGAAAGAAAGAAAAACATTGCCCGACTACTGCTACCCAAAGAGCGCCAATCGAGGTCGAAATGGCGCCCTCCTCGTAGAGCTTTTCCATTTTGGCGGCAACTCCAGCCGAAAAAGAACCCGATTCTCGTAATTTCCAAAAAAGTGTTTTAGTTGTATACCCAAAGGTGTGTCATGCAATATAGTTCATTTGATACAGTATGAAATAAGTGCAAAAAGAATAAAATCTATTTGTTAAGAGTGTTTGCCTATCAGTGTGAGGTGGAGGGGTAAAGAGCAGTGTGAACTCTGAGACAGTGGAAGAGAAATGGAAGTGCCTGACTATGTACAAGTGAAGTGTTTTTGTGTGTGGGATTGGATTACTGTAGTGGTAGAAAATGCTGCTTTTGGGGATGCAAAACTATTATTATGTGTTGCGAATGCCCAGCGCCTGCTCCAGCTCTGCCCGCCGCTGTTGGATCTTGCTGTAGAAGTACCGACTGACCGCTTCCTGCGTCCAAGGCTGAAAGAAAAAGTCCGACATGCGCTCCTCCTCGGAGTTGCCATTCTGGTCGGTCATTACCTGCAGAATAGAGAAATTAAGTTAGAGAAAAGCAAAGTATTAAAAAAAGTAAACAAACAAAGAACACTCACCTTGAGATCCCTGACCTGCGACACCAGCCACTTGTGAATGAACTGCTGCGGGTCGCTGCTGAAGCCCAGGAAGAACTCCCGATTCGTCTTCAGCTGATTGATCGTGTCCACCGTCTCATGGAGCTTCATATCCAGACTCTGAATCTCATGCTGGACGCTGCTGTTCACCAGGAAGCCGTTCAGCGCCGGACGAATGCCATCCTCAATCTCCACGTCAATGTCGTAGCAGGTGGTCTTCTTGATGTTCTCCGGCGGGCCCTCCACCGAGATCAGGTGGTTGATGACGATCGGGTCCGGCGTGAGGAGAAAAGGGGTCAGGCGGCTGGTCAGCTCGGCGAACTTCATCCGCGACACGCCGAAGATCTGCTCGAGGAACTTGTCGCAGTTGATGAACTCCCGCTCGTGCGTGTCCTGCAGCCGGTTCGTCTTGACGTACGTCCAGAAGGCGCTGATCACCCCCGACCGGGTGGCCATGGTCATGCCGAGCAGGCGGCCCAGGCGCGGATCCAGCTTGTACTGCTGCGGCTGGTAGTCGAGCAGGAGGAGGATGGTGCAGCGGACGTTCTTATTGCCGGGCCGCTTCACCTGGAAGCCGTCCGTCTCGGCGGTCTGCACGGTGCGGTGCCACTCCACCAGGTGGTTGTCCGGCCCGTAGAGGTCCTTGTCCAGTTCGATCACCAGCGACTTGAAGAAGGAGGAGAACTTGCGCTTGATGGTGCTCTTGCTCGAGGAGGAGGAGGAGGAAGATGTGCTGTTGGAGCTCGGGGCCGCTTCCGCCGGCTTCTCGTCCAGCAGACGGCCCTCGACGCGCAGCTCCCAGCTGGGAACGGTGGGCTCGGTGTCACCAGGACCACCACCACCACCACCGCCCCCGTCCATGCCCTCAGGCTTGCTGGGGAAGAAGGTGTTGGAGATGAAGATGCGCAGCTTGCGCTTCACCTTGATGGGCTTCTTCAGCGCCTCGGTAATCTCCAGCCGCCGCCGCATGATGGTAAAGTCCAGTTTCCGCTCGAAGGTCAGCAGGTCCATGTACGCCTGCGACTCGGGCACCAGGTCGCGCACCTTCTGCGGCAGCACCTTATCGGAGACCTTCTTCTTCTTCTTCGGTATGGGGCCGTGCATGGGCACGTTCGGCGCCCCGGGGGCCATCGTGTTGGGCGGGCCCATCTGCGGGCCGCCGCCCATGCCGCCGGGTTTCATGACGCCGGGAGGGCCGCCGCCGCCCGGGCTTTGCATTACCATGGGTCGCTTCATGCCGCCGCCGCCGCCGGCCACCATCGGTGAACCGGGCGGCATTCCCGGCGGCCGGTTCATGTAGGGCGATTGGGGTGGTGGCGGTCCTCCGCCAACGCCGACCATTGGCGAGCCAGGCCCGCCCATTCGAACTGGATGCATGGCGTACCGGGGCTGTCCTTGCTGCATCGGATACCCTCCGCCGGGTGGTGGTGGGGGCTGCTGCTGTCCTGGGTAGGGCCCTCGTTGTCCGGGCGGTGGCGGTTGGCCCATCTGCGGCGGCGGTCCAGGCTGCATCTGCTGCTGTCCGGGCGGCCCTGACATCATCGGCGGACCCATTTGCATGTTCGGTGGCAGCGGCCCCGGCGGTCTCATCTGCACGCTCGGAGGCGGTCCTGGTGGTCCTGGTGGTCCTGGCTGCTGCTGCTGTGGCGGACCACCACCAGCATTGGCCACCATCATCTGCGGTGGGGCAGGTGGTGGAGGCATGTGATTGACGTACGGTGGCCTCTGCATGCTTCAACTTCTGTTGATGCTGATGATAATGTTGACAAAAATGACAGAGGTGATCGGGATGCGGCGAGGTGGTGATAAGAAGAATAAGAGGGAAGAATCGGCGAAATAGAAATTCCGCTGTTTGTGTCTTCAAAGTGAAGAGAACAGAGCAGCGGCGGCCAACACAATAGAGCGCCGCCACTGCTTAGCCGTGCTCGGGAAGAGTGCCCAGAACTGGAGGCTGCCGCTTCCGGGAAGATTTTCTACACGGTGCGCCATCTGCTGGGAGCCGCTTGCGTCTCAAAGATTCTCTCTTCTCACCTGTGTTTTGAGTGTTGTTGTTTTTGGATTCTCTTCTTTTTAATCTTCTTTCCAATCATCATTTCCATTCCTATTCCCATCTTCTTCTTCTCCTCATCAGCATGACATCCATCATCCACTTTACGCCCATCTCCGGCGGGCAGGACCAGTCGCCGCCCTGTTATCTNTTCAAATCATCATTTCCATTCCTATTCCCATCATCTTCTTCTCCTCATCAGCATGACATCCATCATCCACTTTACGCCCATCTCCGGCGGGCAGGACCAGTCGCCGCCCTGTTATCTGCTGCAGATTGNAATCTTCTTTCCAATCATCATTTCCATTCCTATTCCCATCTTCTTCTTCTCCTCATCAGCATGACATCCATCATCCACTTTACGCCCATCTCCGGCGGGCAGGACCAGTCGCCGCCCTGTTATCTGCTGCAGATTGACGAGTTCCAGTGCCTGCTCGACTGCGGCTTCGATGAGACCTTCGACATTAACTACGTGCAGCACCTGAAGCCGTACATTGGCTCGATTGACGCGGTTCTACTTTCACATCCGGACATTCACCACCTGGGTAAGTTCAAGGTGATGATGGAGTTAATGATAATGGTTATAACAGCAATTTGTTTTGTTTTGTTTTCAGGTGCCCTACCTTACTTGGTGGGCAAACTGGGCCTCTCCTGCGACGTGTACGCCACCACGCCGGTCTTCCAGATGGGCCAGATGTTCGCCTACGACCTCTTCCAGTCACGGAACAACTACGAGGACTTTGAGCTCTTCACCCTCGACGACATCGACCTCGCCTTCGAGCGGGTGACGCAGGTGAAGTACAACCAGTCCATTGTTCTGAAAGGCCGCGGCCAGGGCATCACCCTCACCCCGCTGCCCGCCGGCCACATGGTCGGCGGCACCATCTGGCGCATCGTCAAGGACGGCGGCGAGGACATCATCTACGCGGCGGACATCAACCACAAGGCGGAGCAGCACCTGAACGGTTGCGACGCCGCCTTCAAGCAGATCTCCCGGCCGTCGCTCTTCATCACCGACTGCATCAACGTCGACTACCACCTGAAGAAGCGGAAGGAGCGGGACGACGAGCTGCTGCGTTTCATTCAGGAAACGGCCCGCAGCGGCGGCAACGTCCTCGTCGCCCTCGACACCGCCGGCCGCTCGCTGGAGATTGCCCACCTCCTGGAGAGGGCCTGGGCGGACCCGGCCTCCGGGCTGCAGGCCTACAGCCTGGTCCTCCTCAACAACGTCAGCTACAATGTGATGGAGTTCGCCAAGTCGATGATGGAGTGGATGGCCGACCGGCTGATGCGCCAGTTCGAGGGCCAGCGCTCCAACCCATTCGCTTTCCGCCACCTGCAGCTCTGCCACGACCTCGCCGAGGTGGCCCGCGTCCACGAGCCGGCGGTCATCCTCGCCTCGCAGCCCGACCTCGAGTGCGGCTTCTCGCGGGAGCTCTTCTTCAGCATGGCCGCCAACCCGAAGAACACCATCATCTTCACGCAGCGGCCCTCCGCCGGGACGCTCGCCGACCGGCTGCTGAAACTAAATAGAAACGGTGGTGGTGGTGAGGGCGGTGGTGAAGAAAACAGCCACTTCATCGAGGAGGTGAAGCGGGCTCGTGTCCCGCTGACCGGTCGCGAGCTGGACGAGTACCTCGAGGCACGGAAGCAGGAGCAGCTGGAGAAGGAACGGGCGGAGGCGGAACGACGGCGGGCGGAACGGGCTAGAAGGAGCCGAAGAAGAAGGGGTCAAAGTGCCACCGGAGAGCCTGATGATGACGATGACGATGACGACGATTCAGAGGATGATGACTCCGATGAGGAGGGCTTTTTCGAGGACCAGGACGGAGGGAAAGGCGAGGACTCCTCAAAAACTTCAGCTATGCAAACGACCTCTTCTAAATCACCGCTGAAGACCCGATCCAGCCACTCCGAGTCGAGTGATAAGCTGAACTCCACCACCCCGGACGGAAAGGCGGTGAAGCACGACCTGCTGGTGGCGGGCCGGATCGACGGCCGCCCCAAGGGCGGCGGCTTCTTCCGCAACGCCAAGAAGTCCTACCCGATGTTCCCCTGCATCGAGCGGAAGCTGAAGTGGGACGAGTACGGGGAGATCATCAACCCCGAGGACTACTCCTCCTTTGACGTCAGTCGGATGGGCGCGGCGCTCAACGGCGGTGTTCCCGGTGGAGATGATAAGGAGAATCTTCGGCTTGAAGAGGCGAATGGAGGGGGTGGAAAAGCAGCAGAAGCGGCCGCCGCCGCCTCCCTCGAGGCCCTCGAAGCCCTCAACCCCACCAAGTGCACCGTCTCCACCCTCCAGGTGGCCGTCCTCTGCCGCCTGGAGTTCATCGACTTTGAGGGCCGCACCGACGACGAGTCCCTCAAGCGGCTGATCATCAAGGTGAACCCTCGCCGGTTGATCCTCGTCCGCGGCGAGCCCGCCAAGATCGCCGCCTTCAAGGACTTCTGCGTGCGGTGCTTCAACTCGGAGGAGCGCACCTTCACCCCCCAGGCGCTGGAGCCGGTGGACGCCACCACGGAGCGGCACATCTACCAGATCAAGCTGAAGGACGCGCTGGTCAGCTCGCTCAGCTTCAGCGCCGCCAAGAATGGCGCCCAGCTCGCCTGGGTGGACGCCGAGGTGACGCTGGCCGCGCCCGAGTCGCTGATGCCTGCGGAGGAGGCGGCGGCGGCGGCGGCGGCGGCGGAAGTAAAAAAGAAGGAGGAACCAGGCGTTGGCGATTCTATTTCCACAGCAGTGGCCATCACCGGAGGAGGAGGAGGAGGAGGAGGTAACAGCGCTGCTGCCAAGCAGCTGATGCCCTCGCTGCAGCAGCTGCCGCCCTCCTCCGCCCGCCGCCTGCTCCCCGCCACCCACCAGACCATCTTCATCAACGAGCTGAAGCTGTCCGATTTTAAGCAGATTCTCAGCAAGGCGGGCGTCCAGGCGGAGTTCGCCGACGGCGTCCTCCTCTGCAGCGGTGGCCAGGTGGAGGTGAGGCGGAGTAGCAGCAGCGGCCGCATCGTCATCGCCGGCACCGTCTGCGAGGAGTACTTCAAGGTGCGGCGGCTGCTCTACGCACAGTACGCTATACTGTAGGGCTGCTGATAAGAGGATGGTGTGTTTTGGGAAATCCTCTCTTTAGCGTTGGACTTTGGAACTAGACTGAAGTGATCTTTGTACTGAATGACCTCATCTGTGTGTCTTGTTGTGACGTCTTTTGTCTTTTTGTTGTGCTGTAAACAACTATTGTGTACATAGGATTTGGTTTTCTTCTTGGCTGGCAGTTGGCCAGTTGGCTTCTTTTGCAGGAAAGTCTTCTTTTTTTTGCTTTAATAAAAATCAATCAATTTGAACCTGATGTGCTGATCAGCTGATGGTGATAAGGTGGTGGTTGTGGCGGTGGAAGTTTTTGAGCGGGGTATCGGATGACTGTGACTTCGAATAAGTGTCAGTGGAAGCAGAAAAAAATGAGGGAAGCTGCAAGCTTGCCAATTTCGCCGCAGTTGTTGATAATCAAATGCAAATCGATTGCGCAGCAAATGAAGCTGTGAATAAGTTTAGTTTTTAGTAGTCAGTTGTCATTTAGTCAGGTTTGACAATTTTGCAGTGCAAATATCTGCAAATTCATTTAAGAATGGAAAAAGTGGACATTCACGCGCACATTCTCCCGGAAAGTTGGCCCAACTTTGCCGAGGTAAGTGGTTTGAATATATTTTAGATCTATCAGAATTTAACCAGAATTTCACCCTTTTAATCAGAAATTCGGCTACAACGGATGGATCACCCTGAAACACCTGGACGAATGGGACAACACTGGAATGCGCAAATCGGTGATGATGCACGACGACGGACGGGTTTTTCGCCCCGTCCAAGAGAACCTCTATTCAGTGGAACATCGCCTAGCGGACATGAAGCGAACCGGAGTTGGGAAACAGGTAAACATTTAAATCAAATTCAAACATAAGGTACAAAAATTTTTACTTTTATTTAGATTTTATCTACAGTCCCCGTCATGTTCAACTACTGGGCCAAGGGGGAGGACAATGAGCTGGTTGCACGCTACCTGAACGATCACCTCTCTGGAGTAGTCAAAAATCACCCCGATTCTTTTCTAGGTCTCGGCACAGTTCCTCTGCAAAACGTCGAGCTGGCGGTCAGAGAGCTGAAACGCTGCCGCTACGACCTTCCCTTAAGTGGTCTCATCATCGGCACGCACATTAATGACCGCTCTTTCGATGACCCCGGTTTGGAACCATTCTGGGCGGCCGCTGAAGAGCACAGTGTTCCCCTTCTCGTTCACCCCTGGGACGTCACCAAAGCGGGCGGCCGGTGGAGCAAATTTTGGCTGCCGCACATTGTCGGCATGACGGCGGAGACCACCGCCGCCGCCCTCTCACTCGCCTTCTCCGGCGTCCTCGAGCGTCACCCTCGCCTGAAACTGTGCTTCTCTCATGGCGGAGGCTCGCTCCCGTATCTAGGCGCCCGGGCCCGGCACGGCTTCGAGGTCTACCCGGACGACATGCAGCAGCACGTTCGCCGGCCGCCGGACGACTTTCTCCGCCGGTCGCCCAATCTGTGCGCCGACACGCTGGTGCACGACGCCGGCGCGCTGAAGCTGGCACTGGAGTACTTTGGAGAGGTATTTTGAAGCGAAAAAAAGAGATTTTTATTTGATTTATTTATTTATTTTTTCTTTTTTAGGATTCGCTCATGCTCGGCTCCGACTATCCCTTCCNGGCGCTGAAACTGGCACTGGAGTATTTTGGAGAGGTATTTAGAAGAGAAAACGGAAATTTTTTAATCGGTTTTTAGATTTTAACTTTTTTTGTTTATTTTGCCAGGATTCACTCATGCTCGGCTCCGACTATCCCTTCCTCCTCGGAGAGCACGTTCCCGGCACGTTGATCACCGGCGAAAGCTGTGGCCACTTTCTGGGCGAAGCAACTCGGCGAAAGCTGCTAGCCGGTAATGCGCTTCGATTTTTCAGTCATTCATAAGACATATAAAAGTGAAAAGTGAAAGCAAAATGACAAGCATTTTAGCATCACGTCACGCAAATCATCCAATAAAAAAGCTGCTGGTAAAATGATAAGAAAATGATACTGTTGTAGTAGTAGTAGTTAGCTGACACCAATTAGCTCGATAAGAAGAGGGCACGTGTTTACTAGCTCATTATTAGCTTGAATGATTACAACAACTCTGATGATTTGATTTGCGAAAAGCGGTTCAGGTCAGAACGAGTGCAAAAAGTTTATAAAGTGAGTTGATAAATTGAGACTCTGATAACTCGTGAGCTTTCTCGTTTGCTCAGTAATTTTTCAACAAACATAGAGTAACAGTAAGCCGATTTCTTTTATGTACAACCCAACAGCTGAAATCAATTGTATTGGAAAAGAAGTGAAAAGTGAAAAAGCAAACAGAAGTTCAGAAGCAGTGACATGGTTTGGCCCATCATGTTGTGGACCTCATGCTCAGAGGAGAAATTCGAAATAATAACGAGAACAAAAAATAGGGGAAAAAGGGGAAAAAGTAATATCACATTTGTGCAGAACAAAGTATCATCGTCGTCGTCATCATCAGTGAAAAGTAGTAATCAGTAGTAGAAGTGTGAATTGTGTGAATCGCATGTCCAGCAAAAAAAGTAAGAGGGCAAGCTTTTAAATAGAAGAAAAGGTCTGTACAAAGGTGAAAAAAGAGGACATGCTAAAGTGTTTAGAATCATCAAAACAGAATTATTCTAGAGAGAGAGCTGTTTTTTGTTGGCAAAAAGATTGGGTTTTCATTTGGAAATGATTAGGAAGCAGGAAACTGGGAAAAGGGCACTCCCTCACCACAATGGAAAATTGAAAACTAGTTGTGTGAATTTGCAGTCTGAGCAAACAGCTAAGAAGACAACAACAGAAGGAGGAAAACTTACAGGAAAAATTCACTTGCTCAGATATTCAATAANCGCGCTGAAGCTGGCACTGGAGTACTTTGGAGAGGTATTTTGAAGCGAAAAAAAGAGATTTTTATTTGATTTATTTATTTATTTTTTCTTTTTTAGGATTCGCTCATGCTCGGCTCCGACTATCCCTTCCTCCTCGGAGAGCACGTCCCCGGCACGCTGATCACCGGTGAAAGCTGTGGCCACTTTTTGGGTGAAGCTACTCGGCGAAAGCTGCTAGCCGGTAATGCGCTTCGATTTTTCAGTCATTCATAAGACATATAAAAGTGAAAAAGTGAAAGCAAAATGACAAGCATTTTAGCATCACGTCACGCAAATCATCCAATAAAAGCTGCTGGTAAAGTGATAAGAAAATGATACTGTTGTAGTAGTAGTTGTTAGCTGACACCAATTAGCTTGATAAGAAGAGGGCACGTGTTTACTAGCTCATTATAAGCTTGAATGATTACAACAACTCTGATGATTTGATTTGCGAAAAGCGGCTCAGGTCAGAACGAGTGCGAAAAGTTTATAAAACGAGTTGATAAATTGAGACTCTGATAACTCTCGTAAGCTTTTTCGTTTGCCCAGTAATTTTTCGAAACAAACATAGAGTAACAGTAAGCCGATTTCTTTTATGTACAACCCAACAGCTGAAATCAATTGTATTGGAAAAAAGTGAAAAGTGAAAAAGCAAACAGAAGTTCAGAAGCAGTGACATGATTTGGCCCATCATGTTGTGGACGTCATGCTCAAAGGAGAAGTTCGAAATAATAACGAGAACAAAAAAGAGGGGGAAAAGGGGAAAAAGTAATATCACATTTGTGCAGAACAAAGTATCATTGTCGTCATCATCATCAGTGAAAAGTAGTAATCAGTGTGAATTGTGTGAATTGCATGTCCAGCAAAAAAGTAAGAGGGCAAGCTTTTAAATAGAAGAAAAGGACTTCTGTACAAAGGTGTAAAAAGAGGACATGCTAAAGTATTTAGAATCATCAAAACAGAATTATTCTAGAGAAAGAGAGCTGTTTTTTGTTGGCAAAAAGATTGGGTTTTCATCTGGAAAGGATTAGGAAGCAGGAAACTGGGAAAAGGGCACTCCCTTACCACAATGGGAAATTGAAAACTAGTTGTGTGAATTTGCAATCTGAGCAAACAGATAAGAAAACAACATTAGAAGGAGGAAAACTTACAGGAAAAATTCACTTGCTCAGATATTCAATAAATAAATGAGAGAAAAGGAGGAAAACAATAAAAAAGCCTGAACAGAAATCATGATGAGCAAATCAAAGTGGTTGGTACGTGGTGGTGGTAGATAGTAGTAGTCTTGGAATGATGAAGATGATATCAGTTGGTGTTGTGGTTGTAGCTTTGTTTTGTTTTCGTACGTTTAGTTTGTCAGTGATGAGGATGAAGAAAAGTTCACGATTGTGAAGTAGTTGGTGGGAAGAGAGAGAGAAAGTGGTAGTGGTATTGGTAGGGCAACTTGAAACGCCTTAGCCAAAGTTCTCAAACTGGTGAATGAAGTAGGGCAACTTGCGGCGGTTGTTCACCGTCTCGCAGGCCTTGCTGATCGACTTGGTCAGCGCCGAGGGGCCGCAGCTGAAGACGCCAACTTTGCTCACCTAAGGGAGAAAGTAGTGGTGAAGATTAGTAATGGCCAGACTATTTTGTTATCGTGTCATCTTGTGATTAAATCACAGTCATCATCACATCTCTGCCACTTACATAGGAGTGCTGGTTCTGCACAAACTTGAGAAAGGCGATCATATCAGGGCGGCCAAAGTGATTGATCGCCTTCAGCCCGGTGAACATGCTCCGCTGGGAGATGCGCTGAAAGTGATTTTCACAAATGTACTGTAGAGAGAAAGAGAGCAGAAAATGTAGATTAATGAGATGCAGTCAGCTGATGAGAGTGAGACAGTGAGTCAAAATCAAAGGAAAGAACACTTACAAGCATCGTCGTCCTCAGGTCAAACTTGTGGAAGAACTGCGTGATGAAGATATGCACCTCCAGCACCTGCGTCACGTCCTTCCGCTCCACGTCGCGCAGCACGTCGATGAACCACTCAAAGTGGCGATGGGAGGGGCAGATCCAGAGGAAGTACACCTAAGAGAAAACTTAAGTAAAAATAACTGTTTTCATTTAGAACTTTTCTCACCTTTTTACAGGCCACTCCCGAGTACCGATTGGTAGAGGTGCCAAAGACGAGGTCGTTGAGGATGGAGGCGTAAGGGGTGACGCCAATGCCGCCGCCCACCATCACCGCCACCTCGTACTTGTACCAGTCCTGGTTACCACCGCCAAAAGGCCCCTCCAGGCGAATCTTCGGCGGCAGCGAGTCGGGCACAATGTTGATAAAGTTGTTTGGGTCAAAATAGTTGCGAAGCTTCCACGTCCACGGGCCCTGGGCCTTGACGTGCACCGAAAGGTAATTTTCATGCGGAGCGGAAGTCAGCGTCAGAGAGTGGTACTCGCTGGAGCGGAAGGCGGTGCAGCAGAGGCGCACCCACTGTCCGGAGAGGTACTTGAAGTTGGGCGGACGGGAGAACTTGACCTTGGTCACGTCTGAGGGTGAGAAGAAAGGAAGGTGTGAAAAGTTTCGAAAATTTGAGTAAAAAAGTTTACCTGAAGGCAGCAGATCCGTCTCCAGAATGTCCAGCTCCATGTACTTGGTCTGCAGGCTGACAATCTTGTCGAGGATGAAGATGACGCCCGGGACGATGAAGAACATCCAGAATTTGGGCTCCTAAAAACAACAAAAAAAAATTAGTTTATGGAAATAAACCTAAAACTATCAATCAAACACTTACCCCAGTAATCTTCGCCAGCCCGTGAATGAACATGAAGATGTAGAGGAGAATGTACAGCGAATGCGTCATCCAGAAGTAGCTGTACGCCTTCTGGCGAATGCGCGGGTGGGCAAAGATGAAGATGACGGCGATGATGGCCACCAGGAGGACACCGGTCAGCCCAGTGACCGTGCCAAAGATCCAGTAGCTAAAAGTGGGCTTCGCGTCCGATTCAAACTGTAACTCCTTTGTCAGACACCGGAGATGTTCCACTGGTTGCGTCGAGACGTGGTAGAAGTTGACGCAATGGCCGATGGTGTGGACCACTAAAAAAAGAGAAAGGTTAGTTTTTTGTATAAAAACAATAGTTTTAAGAACTTACCAGTAAAGAAAAGTCCCGTCAGGGCGACAATCTTGTGAAACTGCACATGCGAATCCAGTGGAATGTACTGGTGCAGAGGAATCTCCCGAATCTTGGTGATCAGATTGCGGCACATCGTCAGCAGAAGGAGCGAGTAGCAAAAGGAGAGCGATGCTGCCGAGCCTCGGGTAATTGCAATTCCGTAGCCCATTACATGCCTCAAGTCCATGTGCTCACTCAGGTAGCTGTAGGTGATGAAACGCTCCAGAAAGAGGACAAAGGTGGCCACAAAGAAGATAAAGAGGTAGACGATCGGCTGGCGGTTCTCCTCCAGGTAGGTGATAAAGTGGTTCCACTTGCGGATGATCAGATTCGGCTCCGGATCTTGGTAAGCTGAGATTTGGAAACTGGTCATCCGCGCAATGTTCGTCGACGTGTCCAGAAAGTTCTGCTTGGCCCCTTTGCAGTCGAGGCCAATGGCGATCATATCGCCCCGATACTCGCTCATCATCACCTTAAAGTCCTGGTAGGTGAGCACCTCCTTGTCCTCCAGACCGGAGCTGGCAAACATGCCGTCAATCAGCTCCACCACCTCGTCCTCCGTCATCGTATTCGTCTTGGCAATGTCCACCAGCGAGCGCATCATCTTGGTGAACTCCGTCTTGTCGATGACGCCGTTGCCGTCGTGGTCGCACATGTCAAAGAAGATGCGCAGCTTGTTGTCGGTCTTGCCGCGGGAGAAGAGCACCACCGTGTCGAGGAACTCCTGAAAACTGATCCGCCCGTCATTGTCCTTGTCCACGCAGTTGAACATCTGCTTGACGAAAAGGGAATCGGCCTTCATGCCCAGCGCCTCGGCAAACTCCTTCTTTGAGAGGGAGGTGCGCATCACCATGATCACATCATTGCTGACGTCCTCGAACTTTCGTTTCTCCCCCGGCTTTAGGCCAAAGGTCAGAGCGTAAGCCTCGCGGAAAAAGTGCTCCAGCCGCTTCTGCCGCTTCTCCTTCGTCTCCGCATTGGCGAGCATCACATCGCGGTACGTGTGAATGATCTCCAGCGTCTTCTTGTGGTTCAGGAGGAAAGATTCGAGCTTGGTGAGAAACTTCTTCCGAGAGCCGTTGTTCTCAAACTGCAGCACCAGGTCGTGGTCTCGTGGCGCCCGAATGAGGATCATCGGCTTGGTGGAGTCCTGCGTCACCTCCACCAGCAGCGAGGAGGTGTCCTGGATGACGATCTTTCGCAGTGTCTCGCTCTTTCGGTTCACCGTGCTGATCGACTGGTCGGGGCCGATTTTCACCTTCACGTAGCGTTTGTGATTTTGGTGGAGCCATTCGCGGACGTCTGTAAAATGAGTTATTAGTAAAGTGATCGTAAAGTGAAAAAAGCTTTAAAAAAACTAAAAACCTACAAAGCTTATCGTAATTTTTCTTGGTCACCGACTCTCGCTGCTGCTTAATCTTCCGCCGCCGTTTGTTGTTCAGCTTGATCACCGCGTAGCCCATCACCGCGACGGCTGATTGTTTTGAAATTTAAGTTAAAGGTTAGTTTTACCTTAGAAAATTTTGATAAAAGAATTAGCTTACCCATTGGAATAAAAACCAACAGCAGAATGACCATAATGTAGGGCAGCTCACTGCCGTGAAAGTAATTCCACCCGGCCAACACCAGACAGTTCTCCAGCACCTTGCTGGTCATCTGCTTCGGCTGCGGACAGGGGTCGTTGGGTCGAAATAGGAACACATCTCGCTGAATCGCCCCCACCGGCACCGTCGTCGAGTTGATGATAATGTCCCAGAGCTTGATCTTCCGAATCTCCTCAATCTCCTCGCGGCTGAAGATGCCATTGTGCTCATTCTCGAACCAGAAGCGGTCCGCGTCGCGAATGCGCTCAAACTGCTCCTTGATGACGGCCCGAAAGAGGGGCCCCGGCCGCCCCGTCTCCAGCTCCGACTCGACCATGCCGCCCACGTAGACGTCCACATTGTCGAGGTTGTTGTCATAGAGACGGGCGAGCGTTTCAAAAAGGACTGGCGCCCGCTCGTACAGCGACGGATTGATCTGCGACCAGTTGGAGAGGGCGGGCAGGCCAAAGTACCGGCGGATGGTGTTGTAGTCGGCGAGGCCGTTGTCACGGCCGCGCATGATGTTCAGCGCCGCCAGGTCGCGCCGGCTAAAGTCCAGCGGTCCAAAGAGTTTGTCTGTGTGAATGTGGAGAGTAATTAATTTAATTAGAGCTTTTGTTTGCCTTTGCGTGATTTCACGCTCCGGAAATGGGAGATGCCAGTGTTCAGGCAAACTTTGGTGATTTGTCAAAAATGAGACCTTGGTGATCTCCTTATCTACCCAGCTACACAAAAAGAGGTGCACTACTACAGTTTCTGAGGAAACAATAAAACAATGTGCTAAGAGTGCTAATTACTATCATTTTCCCTCCTAAAATTGTTACTTCTATTTCCGCTGTTGTTTTTCGTTGACAAGTTGTTAAGTGTGTTTTTTGTTTTGTTTTTGTCTAATTGACCACCTGAATCGGTGAAGTGGTCCACTGTCCAAGTGCCAGTGCACTGGAAGTGCAATAACTAATAATGTTCACCTTTAGTGCTTTTAGTGTCCAATACTTATTTTAATATTTTGTTTGTTAAGCCATAATGTACTCAAAAGGTAGATGCACTGATAACAAACTAAAAGTTTTTGAATATTTGGTATTCTCTGTAACTTTGTAAAAAAAATTTACAATTGTCATCTAGCTAAACTTTTTTCAACTGCAATTAAAATTATGCTAGTTATCAATTGTACGCTGTTGCTATGCAAAATCAAGTCGTTCATAAAAAAGGTACTTCCAGAAAATGGTCATTTGCTCTGGTGATTAGAACCTCCTCTTGTTTTTAAACAACTCTACCCTCTAAACACTTGACAATAGTTAGTACAAACGCACTTAAAAGTTCAAACAAAAAAACAAAGCGGATGCTGCGGAATTCATGCGAATCGCGATTTCACGTCGATTTATTTCTTTCCTAAACACCGATCGATTTCAGCCGTTCTGATTTGTCAAATTTTCCACTTGCTCCCCACAAATTAGTCTCCCACCGCCGTCACAGTGATCTGTCTACTCTGTCCCTGACTAATCGCATGTTAAAAATGCTAAAGCTAAGCACATAATTTGATCCCTCAGAGTCTCCAGTCGGTACAGGTACAACGAGGGAGCTACTTTGGCTACAACAAGACTTTCATCATCGTCATCATCATCATCATCATCATCGAAGTCTCGCTGATCTATCAGCAGCTAGCCTAGCTCAACGAAACAGGCTCGACTTTGCACTTAGCAATCAGTACTGCTGCTGCTGCTAATGCCAATGCGCAATGAAAATAAAAACGAGAAGACAAAATTGCAACGGCAGCAGACATGAGACAGACGTGTTGACTCGGAGTTTGAGTTAGAACGTCAAACCGAGACGTCAAACGTTGTCGTTGCGTACCCGTTGCACTTTCTTACACGTGCTACTCTTGACCTCAATTGTCAAACTGTGCTGAGAGCTTTTTTGAGCGGTGTTTTTTCTACAGTAGCCGCCGCTGCAACTCCTTTGCAACGACTGCGACATCGCAGAACTGAACGGGTAGGTGTGCTAAAAGGAACTACAAAAAAAGACTCTGGACATCTCAACACAAGAGAGTAAAAAATTGCCGATTTTTCGAGAAGGAGATGAAAAAAGTAAGCTGCTGCTAATATCTGCCGGTGTGTCGCAACAGTTCACACTACAGCTATTCCCATCTGGATTGCAGGCTGGACTGGCAAGTAGTCTCAATGTAGTGTTGCAAGCAAACTATCCGCTCATCCTTTTTCTCACATCATCGGCCATCTTCAGCAGCAGCAGCAGTGTTGGCCGTGATTGGAGAGCGATGTCCACTGTCTCAAGAGATGCAATGCCTCAACGATTGTCCGACGTTGTTGGACCAAACCATTCATTGCATTGAAAAGGCTAAGAGGATGGCAAAAAAGAAGAAGAAGTTCACTAACCTGCATCATCAAATTAATTGCGCAGCTGAAGCTGCCATTGTAAGGAAACAGTGTGAAAAACAGCACTGCATTGCATATCTTGCACAACAATCTGTTGCTAAAATCAGATGAATTATCTTATGGTTTGGTTGGCAAAACATACAACTAAATGAAAAAGGAGAAAACACAAATCACCACTAAAATCAGCCACCAAATCGGCCAATTAGCAAAAGAAGGCAAGCAGGCAGGCAAGCAGCAACTGTCAGTCATCAATCAGTAGAAGTAAATCGTGGTCGATCACGATTTACACAATGAACAGAGGAGGGGGGGGNTGCTCGAAACGAAGTACCGAAGCTAATTTATGGGGCATATCGAATGCTCAATTTTCAGCTAATTGCAAACAAACAATAAACAGCCACATGACCACTAAAAAGGTAGGCTCTGCAATGATCATCCAGGTAGCCACCTAAAAAGGGTGCAAATCAATGCAAACACTACAAAAAAAACTCTTTCCCTGTGAAGCACCATTCAACCAATGACCAAGGTTCGGCAGGCTCTTTCATCTTCTCTTCTTCTTTTTCAACTCTATCAATTAAAATGTAGGCCACCACTTGAGCACACACATATGGCACAGACAAGAAAAGTGAGTGCTGCTGCTGCTCCTGCTGCTTCGATTGGAAAATATTGCGGCTAAACAAAAGAGATGCGCAAAGAAGACGACAACAGCGTTCCAAGAGCAAGAGCACAAGCCATTGCACTTTGCAGTGGGAACTTTCACTACTATTTACTACTACTTTGGCAGAAGCTCTTCTCTTCGTCTTTGCTGGTCAAACACACTGCTCAAACAGTTCAACTGCTGCTGCTGCTGCTCTTTCTCCTTTTCTCCCTTGCGTGTATGCAAACACTTACTGTCGTGCACTGGAGCGACTCTAACATTGACCGACTATCAAACTGTCTATCGGTGAAAAGAGAGGGAAGAGAGCTGCCAATGTGCCATCCAATAGTTGAAGATAGCAAGAGAGAGAAAAGCCAGTGTACGACTGCAGCCTGGCAGGGAAGATGACAATTAGAACTCGATCGTCAACTGCTTGGCAAGAAAAGAAAAGAAGCAGGGATGGCAGCAGGCAGTGGTGCAAAAGAAGAAGAAGAAGAAGAAGTGACATCCAAAACAAGACAAGACATGAAAAAGAAGAACAGCAACAGCAAAATGAAAACAATGACCGGCAATGGCCGAGCACTGTGATTGAAAACACAGACACGATTGAGTGCAACAAGTGTGTGTTTGTGTCGGCTACTGCTACGGTCATCAGCAGCAGGCAAAAAGCGGTGAATTGATTTGAATTAATTTCTGAACTGCAACAAGTCCAGTCTTGGTGAATGAAAACTCTGAAAACTCTGCGTGTGGTGTGTTGTGTAAGATTGGTAGTGAAAACAACAGCAGGCAACAATTGTCAGTCGAACAGTCGATGACAGATTTGCACTAAGAGCACAAGTGCAGAAGTGCACTTTTTCTGCAAACTGTGACATTCACTTTTTTGCTGTTGTCGACCTAATTAGCCGTTGCGTGCAGAAAAGCAAAAAAAGAACAGATTTTTTAAACCTAAACAAATCCTCAGAAAGGCGACAATAAATCTTTTCAAAGCTCATTGAGTTCTAAACGAAATGTGCAAAAACAAAGTTCCACTTACCTCGAACATCCGAACAGAGGACAGAGTCTTCTCGCTCGGCAATCTGCGAGGAGAGACCCATGATAAGCTCTTCGAGGCCGGCATTCGGCAGGACGCCCTGATAAGATCAGAACAAAAGTTAAAACATTTTATCTATAAAACTTTTCCCCAATCACCACATACCACAGCGTCCCACCAGGTGGAACAGAGGCGAATGCCATCGTGGCCACTGGGCGTCTTGAGAAAGTTGCACTTGGCGTCTCGCCGGTACAGACCAGGAGGGATCATCGTGTGGCCGAAGCGGAAGGCCGCCGACTGGAAGACATGACTAATGCCCGGGTGGACGTCAGGCTTGTAGCCGCCGTAGGGCGGCATTGGCTCATCAAACAGCGTCTCCAGGTACTCGTAGAGGATTATGTTCTGCAGAGGAAAGAAAGGTAATGGAATTTTTGTCTTGAAGAACACCTCAACTCTTGCACTTACTTGTAGACTAGCAATGACCAGACGTCGAGTGCGCTGGAAGATGTCCTCGTCTGACCAGTCGGGATGCTCCGACTGCACCCGCCTGGCGAGGACATTGTGCCAGCGGAACATGAGAATGCCAAAGGCGAGAATGACCGGATTCTGGTTGGTGCGAGGGTCGCCCAGCACTTCATTTGAGAAAAAAAGTCGAAAAAGTTGTGTGTAAATAGAAATCAGCTGATTTTTGTTTACTGCAAAAATGTGACAGTACTTACAGTACATCCTCTCCGGGGCGGACATTTTGAGGTGGTGGGCGGGCGGCGAGTTGACCAAGGGAACGCGGTCTCGATTCCGAGGCGGAAAGCCGCCGGTCGCATCAGTTCGGAAGGTGCCATTCTCAAAGGTGCGCATCGCATTGAGCCACGTCTCCGAGGTGCTGTAGATGAAGCTGCCGTCGATCCAGCTGGTCACCATGTTTAGCTGTAGATTGTAGTGGATTTTATGAGAATGATTAGCATTAGGATGATAGGAAGATGAGGACGAAAAAAATTGTCGCAGTCAGGTCGTAAAAAGTATAATTTACAGCGCAAGGTGCTGACAGCAAGCTGATCACATGGTGTTAAAAACTGATTTTTTCACTTTTTGATTTCCAGCTTTTTAAGTGCAGATCAACAACAAATCCCAGGCACCCTAAGCAACAGCCAATCAAAGGGTAACAAGTATTGAAAGTCTCTTCCAATCTTCTATTTTAAAACATTCTTACGGCTATTTACTTTGTGATTGGAGAGAATTCTGTTATTGCACCATCGGCACCATCTGATAAATCATCGTGCTGAGCTTGTTTGTCTGCAGTTCACAGCATGCGATGTGTGCGTGCCTTTCACGTACATCTCAACTCATCTTCTTGTGCGTGCTTCCAACAGCAGACACTGCCAGGTCTAATTAGTATTTATAAATTCGAGCCACATCAATTGGCGAGTGTGCCAAACACATTGCGCTGTGTTTTGCAGGTAAAAAATACAGGCAAAAAGAAGATGATGTCCATTTCGTGTCCAATAAAGATGCAAATGAGTGCGAGTGCGAGAAAAGATGACGATGATGATGATGCTCACCACCGTCTCTTTAGTCGCTTTTGCTCAACTTTTGCACTTTTTCTCAAGGTAATTCTCATTAACAGTGATCCGAACCAGTGCTCTAAGATTATGCTATTGAAACACAGTTGCTGTGCTCTAAAATGCACCAAAAGTTCACAATCAAGTTCATTTTTGCTTGATCATCCATTCTGATCAGCAGCTCACAATAACAAAAGTATTCTAACTAATGCAAATAGCTGAAAATGCAAAGCATTTGCCTGCAAGTTCTCGCTGTTTCAGTTTCTGTTTTTTTCACTTTCTCTCCAGAGTCTGTTGGAGTTGGAGTGGCAGCAGCAGCAGCAGCAGCAGCTAAAACAGCTAAAACTTTGGTCAAGTTCTCTCCAAACGTTTGGAAAACTGCAGCTAATGAGACATAATTGCCATTAGCGGTGCCGAGTGCTGCTGCAACCACTGCAGGGCAATTAATCATCGCTTTGTGAAAGAGCGAGAGAGAGAAAGAGAGCTCAGTGTCACCGAAAGTGGTAAATGTGTAGTGGTAGTGGTAGTTGAAACAGTAGTAGGCAACATCATTGAACAGTGATCAGCAGCAGCAGCAGGAGCAGCATTTGGAGATCAAAAGTCACTGCAGTCTCTCCATCAATCGAAGCTGANAGCGGTGCCGAGTGCTGCTGCAACCACTGCAGGGCAATTAATCATCGCTTTGTGAAAGAGCGAGAGAGAGAAAGAGAGCTCAGTGTCACCGAAAGTGGTAAATGTGTAGTGGTAGTGGTAGTTGAAACAGTAGTAGGCAACATCATTGAACAGTGATCAGCAGCAGCAGCAGGAGCAGCATTTGGAGATCAAAAGTCACTGCAGTCTCTCCATCAATCGAAGCTGAAGTTGAAGTTTGGGTTTGCTGAAAGTAGTGGTAAGTCTGAGAGTGTGTGTATGAGATTCAATCGACTAAACTTTTGGCTTTTAGAAGCAGTGCTGAGGCTGCTGCTGCTGAACAGCCAACTTTGAGGGCCACCGGCAAAAAAATGAAAGTAGAAAAGGAGCGAGAGAAAGTAATCGTCGTCGTCGTCTGCAAGCGAGGTACACTTTAGGCAGCAAAAGCAGCAGCAGGTAAATGTCATTATCAAGAGCGAGCCAATGCCAAGTGTGAACGAGTTTTAACTGGCTTTTTACTTATTTTCTACTGGCACGTTTTCCACTGTCGAATGTCGCGGACGATTAGGCCTGTTTAAACATTTTCCCTCTCTCCTACTCTCGCCGGATGCGATTCTCGCCTTCTTCCTAAACTCTATTTCAAAGTTATGCAGCAGCACAATTTAGGCTGCCTTTGAACTTAACCTTCTTGGCGAGAAATGCTGAAAAAAGTCTTTTTTGTTTTGTTTTTCTTTCTGTTCTTACCTGTTCTCGTGGATTGTTGGGCGACTGGCCGGTCCTCGGGTCGTAGGTGGCCCGGTGAAAGGGCATCGTCCGTCCGCCGCGGCAGTCCCGATCGAACATCTCATCGCACTTGGCAATCTTGATGCGGTGCATCTCAATGGGGCAGCCCGGCTCGCTGGCCATCAAGATCTCCGATGATACCATTTGGCCTATTGAGAAAAGGGGAAGGGAGGAGAAGAAAGCAAAATAACACAAAATTATAAATTGAAAAAGTTTGTTGCAAAGAGAAAGTAAACAAGTGCACACAAGAGGAAAGAAAAAGGAAAAAACGAAGGCAGCAAAAACGCTGACAGCTAAAGTGTTTTTCTTCCCCTCTTCAGTTTCTCTCATCGCATCTCATCTCTCCTCTCTTGACCTTCACCTGATGACCGCAACAAACACACACAGTTATCGTGCAGGGAAAAGGCTGCTAAAAATAAAGCCATGCCGGCAAAATGAGATGAGATGAGAAAAAAGATGCTCACTCTTTTCTCTCTATTCAGTCAAGCACTCACAGACTCTCTTGTTTTCCCTAATTGACCTCATCACTTGGTGCTTAGAAAAAACAGGAGAGAAAGAAAAAGAGTTCATGAGTTGGAAAAAACAACAGCCAGGCTGACTGCTGTGCCAGTTCATTCAAATCGATTCTAATTGCCCACTCGATTACTGCACAAAAAGAAAGAGAAAAGGGGACCACTAAAAACTACTACTGCTTTTTCTCTCTTTTTTTCATTGTCTGTCGTGATGTATGCTGACCACCACAGTAGTGTCCAGTGATGCGGCAGCGGCTAATGATGATAATAATAAAGACGATTATTACTGGGATCATGCTGCTGTTGATGCTGCTGTTGCTGCCTCTGTTGATGATGATTATCATCAATCACGACACGGCCAGCAGTAGTAGCAGTGGTGGTGGCATCTTTAAGCGCTTTAATATGTCTTCTATTGTGTCTGTCATCTTTGCCTTTTTGCCGGTTTTTTATAATCACTGAATAAATGGCAAAAGCAGAGGCTTTTACGTTATTCAATGATAATGGCCAATTAATCACCTTTTCAATGACTAATTAGCAATTTGATAACAATAAAAATGATTTTTACGCTTTTATATGCTGAGCCACTACAGTCAAAATAAAAATCACAAAACTTTAAAATTTCGTTTTAGCAAAATCATCAATGAGCATTTTTTACTTTTTAGTTACTATTTTCACGCTAACAAAAAGAAACTGTTGCGACACTTTACTGCTTGTTCACTGCTTTTAACTGCAATCGCATAATTACAACTATGCTGTACGACTAATGTGCAATTGAGCTCAAGACTTAAACTTCAAATGTCTCCCGTTTTTCTGCTAATGCGATAATTTTCTTTTTTAAACTTTGAGCAAGCAAGTAACATTTTTTTAAGTAGCCACAACAGCAATCGCAATGTTTAGCTTTAAAAAATACAATTTTTTCAAAAATTTAAACAGACTTACCAAAAAGGGCAAAGAGGACGGTGAGGTTGCGAGCGGAAGCCTTTCCATCCTCGCCCTTCATCAAGGCTTGCGACAGGTCCCGCGGACTGGGTCGATCCTCGCCAGCCATCATGTACACGCCGTCAGAGTACGATGGAGGCGCTTTCCGGGTCAGGTGACTTTCTGTTGAGGGAGGAAAGAAGAAGGTACAACATTTTAATCGTTTTCCTCGATTTTACTCAGTCCTTAAAAAGTGGTAATTGCAGTGCTGGTGGTGGCAATGACAGTGAACACACACACACACACACACACACACACACACACACACACACTAACACGCGGTTATCGTCATTGAATTTAGTTAACAGCAGTCAGTCAGTAAATCGATTCGACTTTGAGCACTGAGCAACAGGTGGTTAAAATGAGTGTGTGTCTGTGCTTTATGATGATGGGGATGGTGGTGATCACCGCCATTATAATCATCATCAAGACGATGCTGCTCCTGTCTTTGTTTGTTTGTGTTGCTCGTCATGTGACAACACACACACAAATGGGCTAAAAGTGCGGCAAAATTTGCAAACATTTTTGTTCATTTTCAGCCGTAGATTGATTGGAAAAATTAATTTAAACTAATTGGCAGTTTAAATAGTGATGGGAGTAAGTTTATCTTTCTCAACTACAAATATTTATTAGTGGTTTGGCTTTCCTAATGCAGTGTTTTTGCACTAATGAAGTAAACTCCGTGATTTGGTGTTTGCAATTAGCATACTTTCCATTTTCTAAAAGGTTTGCTGCGTTTTTAAACGCCGTACTTTATTTGCTCAAAATATCAATTTACGCCAAAACTAATCATTAATTGAGTTCTAAAAGTGCACCCTAGAATGTATTTTCTACTGCTAAAATGATGTTTTGTGATTAAAAAGATTATTACCTGTTAGTTTTGCATTTAAAAAACAAAAATGCCGTTAAACTGGCAGCTTTAGCACTACTATCACTACCACCCTCACCACAATTTAGCATCTTAATCATTAACTTACCAGTGGAGCCCCAGCGCGGATGCGCCAAATTGTTGTACCATCCATCGTACCGCTGCATCTCCGCCATAAAGAACATCTTCCGATTGCGCCGACTGCTCAGTGCGCCCATGCCCTCCTCGCCCGGAAAGTTGAACACATTGGAGCCGTAGTGGACGGAAGAGGAGGACTCATTGGCTGATGAATAGGGCGCCTCCTCAATGTAGCTGTCCTCGCCGCCATTCGGTCCGGTCGCCTCGGTAAAGTACTCGTGCTCATCAAACTCAAAGGTGGCCGGCGTCGAGGGAGCACTGTTACTGCTGCCTCCGGAAACGGAAGCAGTGTAAATGTTGCCGGCCACTCGACCCGTTGGTATCCTGCTAACGGGAGGTGTCGCCGGCGTGGTCGGTGGTTTGGGAGTTGTTGTGGTCGTGGTTGTTGTTGTAGTTGTAGTGGTAGTAGTGGTACTCGAAGGGGTTGGTGCTCTTGCAATGGATCGTTTTGCAGCAGCAGCAGCGGCAGTTGCTGTTGCTGATGATGATGAAGCTGTAGAAGCAGCTGTCGTCCGGCTGGCTGGGGCAGCTGTAGAGGAGAGAGAAAAAGGGGGAAAACATTGGTTAGAAGTGACATTAGACTACCACCAACACTGTAGAAGCAGCCCCTTTTGGTCGCTTCAAATTGATTCGTCATTGAGGACATTGCTGCCGCTGCTGTTCATTGCCGACGACGACGACGACGACAACGACAGTCAGCTGAGACAAACTCTACACACAGTGTGAAGGAAGAGCAGATAAGACAACTGCGGCAACAGCATTGTTTGACAATGTCTCCGACTGGCTGATTGTGCTACTGCTGCTGCTGCACAACATCATCATCAGTGTGCTCGCAATTAGCTGTGACCAATTTGAATGGCCGTGATGGTGGTGGTGGTTAAAGATGGTGATGACGACGACAACGGTGGCCACTGACTACACAGTCTTTACCACCACCACCACCACCACCAACATCCTTCTTTTAGCATCTTCAAGTAGTGATGATAGTAATGACCACCACTTCCACCACCACAAGTTCCTGGGCGCGCATCGCTGAGCACCTCGATATCGATCGATAGCAACAAAGCATCTTCATTCTTCTTCTCTTTCTCCTCCTCCTCCTCCTCTTTAACAAAACACATCTTCAAAACACTACAGTACTACAGTTGTAGGCAAGGCCAATCGTAAAGTAAAGTCGTTTAAAAGAGGGAGCAAGAGAGAGAGAAACAACAATGCAAGAAACCGTGCTTTTCACTCTTTGAAGCGCCGCGCATCTGAAGATGCCTCTGCAGCCTACTTGGATGCTCGTCATGTGTGATTGCAATTAGAGTAAACTGTGCCTGCTGCGGAAAACTCTAACTGACTAGAGGTCAACGTGTTTGCAGGGGGGGGGGAGAAACGAGTGACCACAAGGTATGCTACACAATAAACAATGCCGACATGTTGTGTGTGTCTACTGTGTTGCTGCTGCCAAGAAGAGAAAAAGTGAAAACAGAAAGAAGAAACCCAAATTATCATCTGAAAGAACACACTGAGGGTGAGAAGGAGAAATGGGAGGAAGAGTAATCACAAATGAAAAAGTGTCATTTGAGCAGCAGGTAGTAAAAGTGCAGCACAAACTTTTCTCTCTTTTCCCTTTTCATTAACACACAGAAACAGACAAACCAGTGCCTTCTTTCCTTCCTCAACAACGAAAAAAAGATAAAGGAGAAAAACTGCAGTACTCGATTGCCATCGTCGATCGTCTAATGAACTTGTGCCTGTGTGTGGTTGTGTGTGTTCACCTTGTGTGCTCTCTCCATCGGATAGAAAACAGCCGAACAAGTCGACTAATGAGCGGCAGACACTACCTGTTGTTGCTGTTTTTGTCATTTAGCTAATTAAATTACACTACACAGCTAACTGGTGACACTGGTGGCGATGGTGGTGGTGGTGCACTCCGAGTAAGCCACTGAGCAACAACCACTGCATCCCCCACATGGCTTACTCAAGTGGAAAAGAGCAGAAGTTAGCGGCAAAGGACAAACAAAAAGAAACTCAGTAGAACCAAAAATAGTGTCAAACGTGTGTGTGTGTGTGCGATAATCGAATTGTCTTTTGCTGCTGCTGCTGCAGTGAAGTCAACTGGAAAATCGAGCAATATTCGTTTCTTGGGCACTCAGCACACTCACCAATGTCATTGGATTAATTGGAAGGCAGTGGTAGACAGTGGGGAAAAGAAAACAGAAAACCGATTGTTTTTTTCTGTAGCTCTAGTAAAGTTGTCTCGTGGTTTTTCTCTCTTTCTTTCTGCGAACTGACTCAACTTGACAGTGTGATACCTCTTCCACTTGTTCTCTTACATTTTTCATTTTTCTTCAGTTTTTTATGTTGACAAAACAGCAGCAGCAATCGTTTGTATCCTTCGTGCTAATCAAGCACGACCACCACCACCGTGTATGTAACTTTATGACCAACACATGACAGTCTATCTCTCGTTTGTTTTTGCTCACTCTCAACTTTTTCTCTTTCCCGTTCCAGCACACGCACCGAAGCAACAAAAAGTATTGCTGTACAGTGTCGGTGAGAGACTGGCCAATCAAGTATTGACTATTAATTGACTGAGTGTTGCAGCACTCTCTCTCTCTTTCTTAGTGCAGTAATTAACCCGACAGGTAGTTGTTGGCTTTTTCAGTGATTGCCCCAATCGCTGATTCAATGGCAAGTGGTAGAAATGACAGTCTGTGAAAGTGCTCAACAGATTTGTTCTTCTTTAATATTATTGTAAAATAACGGATTACTGAAAAAAATGCGGAAAATCTTTGGAACTTCTCTTTGGAAAAGTAAAAAAGTTGAGCACCTTGACTGTCTGCCGTGTTTTCTTCTAGGTTTTTTACTTCCCGGGCATTTTTTGTTGTTCCTGCTGCTGCTTTTTAACGAGTTCATTTGCACCAAAAATTGTCACAGCGCTAGAGGCATGTGCGTGAGTGAGTGAGTGACTATGTGCATCAAACGTTAAACCTTTTATTTAGGCTCCGAAGGCTCCTAACTCCTTTTGGCTATTGTACACTGTATGAGATTAGGAAAAGACAACAGAAAAGCGCAGACTGACGGTCAACAAAACAACAACTTCAGTGCCTGCTCTTTCCTTCTTTTTCACCTATTGTTTTTCACAACAACACTTTTTTTCACACACTCTATAAGTTCAATAGATTGGCTTGCAGCTGCTGCCGGTTAAAGGAAAGCAAAGATTAAAACAAGAAAGATCAAGATAATAAAAGATAATAAAAGCCTAACAGCTATTTCAAAATAGGGTAATAAGTGCCTGAAGTCATAACGGTGTTACGTTATTTATAATCTTTCCCTCTCCTTTTTCTAGTCTACTACCAGCAGCAAAAGCATGTATGGCACATTACCGGCAACAGCAACTACAAACGACTAGTAGGTTTCTCTCCACCTTTACCGACTGAAGGCCAGGCTAAACTTAAAATGCGATTTTAAAAATCATTACACATGGCCAGAAAGGATGGAAACATCTGGGCAGCTGTGTTGCACCCAAGAAGCTGATGACGATGTTGTTCATGTTCATGATGATGATGATGAGTGGATGGTTATGCTGGTAATGCTGCTGCTGCTGTTGCTGATGTTGATTTGCCTTGAAGGGGCTCGTTTGTAACCGCAACAGCACTACTCGGTGACACCTCATTAGCGACATGTAGTGTTTGTTGTAGTAGTTGTAGTAGCACCACTTTTGGGTGCACACTTCTGCTGTCTACTTCTTTCCTCAATGACTGCTGCTGCTGCTGATTTACGCAGACACACACCAAGGGGACCACAACAACTCTTTCGAACATAAACAAGAAAAAGAAGGGGGAGAATTAGCGCACTAATTAGAAGAGGCGCTCAGATAGAAAAAGCAACAACTTTAGTTTTCCACTTGTGCTCGTAACCTTTTTTCCCGTCCCCTCTTTTTCTATTTGCTAAAACAGGAGGAATAAATCCTTCAGTAATTAAAGGTTAATTGACTTAATTAATTAAGAACATGTAAAAACAGTGTTGATGAAGGAGAAAGGGGGAATATTTTAAAAGGTTACTCCAGCAGTAGCCCGGTGAATTACTTTTTTACTCTTTCAGAAAAAAACGCTTCTAAAAAAGCTGGAATATTGGCAATACTTTTCAGGTATACGCACATACACACCGGTGACATCATAAATCACAAGTTTCCTTTGAGCTATCAATGTCAAAAAAGTGGTAACTGAAAAAACTGGTATCAGCTGAGCAATTGTTGAAGAGGGAGAGTTAGGCTGAAATGAAAGCAACTACAAATCATTCGAGCACAAAATCATCAATAACCAGAGGCAATGTACCAGTTGCACCAATTGCAATTGCTGTGTTAATTGAGAAAGGTAGAAATTTTGCTGAACAGTAAGAAGCAAAAGAATTGCCGCTTTTTGGTGTAGACACTACACAAGACTGAGTGGCTTCAAAAAGTGCAAAAGAAGCTTTACACTATTTTAAACTTCACACTACCGGTGATTGATGAACGAAAGTGCCTCTTTATTACCGCAAATAAAGTGAAATGTTGCATTTTTACTCGTAATTTAATTTTTGTTGTGTAAAACAGCTCCGTTGACTCACAATTTATTTTAGCCCGCATCCGGTATAGAAACACCGGTTTTAAGCATAATAAAAACAAAAAGTATCAATTTTTATTTTGCAATCTCAACCATCTATCTTTTTCAATTAGGACATTTTACAGAAATTGTCGCCTTTAGAAGAGCTCTCAATGATTTTGTTTCAATGTTAGAGCGCTCAATGCTAGTCTCACAGAATAATAAAGAAAGAGAGGACAAAGTATGTACTAAAAGAGTCACTCTGATTTCATTGCCGATTTGTGCATTCTTTTTTCACAAACTTGGAATTTTGTCCTCAGATGAATGTCAAAAAGACTTAAAAGAATGGTGCTAACAAATTGATACAAATGCTCAAGTTTTCCTCAATTGTACGACCATTGTCAGAGCAAGACTGCGGCACAAATTGGTGCAACACTGTGCCAACTTCAACTGATAAAATACATTCTTTTAGACAA